CCAGCCTGAACCAGGGGAAACCTCGTCTCTAAAAATAGCCAGTTGTTGTGGCGGGGCACCTGAAGTCCCAGCTACTCAGGATGTTGAGGCAAGAGAATCTCTTGAACCCAGGAGTTGGAAGTTGCTGTGAACTATGATGCCATGGCACTCTATTGAGGGCAACAAAGTGAGACTCTGTCTCAAAAAACAAAACAAACAGAAAAACACCGAGAACAAAGTTTTGGAGGTACAGAATAGTTACATAGTCTCATAGATTACTTACTAATATCAAAAGAAAAAATGCACTTAAAATGGAGAGATTTGGCAGTCACCAACCTTTAATGATGGTGACCAAACTTAGCATCATCTATCTGAGAAGTTCAGATTTCCCACAACTAAAAAGTAATCCTTTGTAGACAAAGCACACAGTACATTTTAAAGGAATCTATTTTATTTACGTGATGCAAAAGGTTTACTTCATAGATTACTTCTGATTATAAATCGGGAAAAATAACCTTTATAATAGAAAGAGCTGCCTTTTGCTTCTTTAACCAACTCATACAACAAAATCACCAGTAGTGAGAGGAGCTTGCATGATGTGATCCTGATGTGATTACTAAGAGGTCTACAGCACTACCAATGCAGTACTATTGCTAAAAATGTCTAACAACTGGACCAGTCTAGAACGTAAGACAGTAGCTTCAACTCTTCAGAAAATTCACTGTCAGAAATACTAAAACAAATAGTAACTGTTCTAGATTAAACGAGTGGGAGTTTCTTAGTTTCTTTATTGTACTGGAGTGTAGATAGCTATTTTTATTGTTTATATTATTTATTTATTTATTATTTCAGGTTATTGTGAGGGTACAAACAACCTGGTTAAAATTTTAGAATTTTTTATATAATGTCCCTCTTGTAGTTGTGTCCTGCAGCCAAAGGAGTGCCATATACCCCACCTTGTGCCCTTTAAGTAGATGCACACCAGTCCCCCATCTGGGACCTCTCCCACCTCGCCCGTTTCCCTTCCCTCCAACTTGAATAGAATTAAGTTTTTCTTCTATGTGGGCATGTGTTAGATGGTCTACTGGCGTCATAATAAAATTGAGTACATTGGATACTTGCTTTTCTGTTCTTGTAATACTTTACTGAGAAGAATATATTTCATTTCCATCTAGATTAATACAAAAGATGTAAAGTCACCGTTTTTTTCTTACAGCTGAATAATACTCCCTGGTATACGTATACCATAGTTTTTTAATTCATTCTTGAGTTGATAGGCATTTAGGTTGTTTCCCTCTTGGTGATTTTAAACTGAGCTGTGATAAACTATGTAGTGCAAATGTCTTTAGGATAAAATGATTCTTTTTCTTCTGGGTAGATGCGTAATAGTGGGATTGTCAAGTCAAATGGAAGGTGTAATTTGAGTTCTTTGAGGATTCTCCATACTTCTTTCCAAAGAGGATGTGTTAGTTTGCAGTCCCACCAACAGTGTAAAAGTGTCCCTTTCTCGCCACACCCATGTCAGTATTTTCAAATCTGGGACTTTGAGATGTGGGCTATTCTCATTGGGCTTAAGTGATATCTCAGGGTGGTTTTGATTTGCATTTCTCTGATGATTAGACACTATGAGCATTTTTTCTTTATTCTTTTTTTTGAGACAGAGCCTCAAGCTATCCCCCTGGGTAGAGTGCCATGGCATCACAGCTCACAGCAACCTCCAACTCCTGGGCTCAAGCGAGTCTCCTGCCTTAGCCTCCCAAGTAGCTGGGACTACGGGTGCCTGCCACAACGCCCGGCCATTTTTTTTTTGTTTTTTGGTTGCAGCCATCATTGTTGTTTTGGCGGGCCCGGGCTGGGGATTCGAACCCGCCACCTTAGGTGTATGTGGCTGGTGCCTTAGCCGCTTGAGCCACAGGTGCTGAGCCAATGAGCATTTTTTCATATGTTGGTTAGTCATTCTGTTTTGATCACTGTGGAATTATAATATAACCTAAAGTCTGGTAGAGTGATGCCTCCAACATTGTTTGTATTACTGAAAATTGCCTTGGCTATATGGTTTTTTTTCTGGTTCCATAAAAAATGAAGAACTATTTTTTCCACTTCTTCAAAGTATGATGTTGGTATTTTAATGAGGATTGCATTGAATCTGTAGACTGCTTTGAGTAGTATAGATATTTTAACAATGTTGATTATTCCTAGCCAAGAGCATAGTATGTTCTTCCATTTATTGATGTCTATTTCTTTTCTTAGGATTTCATAATTCTCTTTATAGAGGTCCTTCACCTCTTTTGTTAGATATATTCCTAGGTATTCATTTCCTTTGAAGCGACTGTGAAGGGAATTGTATTTTTTATTGGCTTCTCAACTTGGCTGTTACAAAGACTACGAATTTGTGGACATTCATTTTATACTCTGAGACATTACTGTATTTCTTGATCACTTTCAGGAGTCTTATGGTTGAGTCTCTGGGATTTTCTAAGTATAAGATCATATCATCATCAAAGAGAGAGTTTGACCTCCTCTGCCCCATTTGGATGCCCTTTATAGCCTTCTCTTACCTAATTACATTGGCTAGAACTTCCAGCACTATGTTGAATAGTAGTGGTGATAGAGGATGTCTTTGTCTGGTCCAGTTTTAAGTGGAAAACGTTTCAGTTTTACTCCATTCAGTATTTTATTAGCTCCAGGTTTCTCATAGATGGCTTCAATCATTGTGCCACCTATACTTGCATTCTTAAGTATTCTTGTTAGAAAAGGATGTCCAATTTTATCAAGTGCTTTTTCTACATCTATTGAGAAGACCCTATGGTCTTGGTTTTTGCTTCTTTTGATATTGTGAATTACATTTATGGATTTGCATATGCCAGCCTTGCATCCTAGGATGAGCCTACTTGATTGTGATGTATAATTTTTTTAATGTGTAGTTGTAATTCATTGGCTAAGATTTTATTGAGTATAATAATGAATATTGCATCAATATTTATTAGTGAAAGTAGTCTGTATTTCTCCTTTTTAGTTGGGCCCTTTCCTGGCTTTTTTGTCAGTGTGATGTTTGCTTCATAGAATGTGTTGGGGAAGGTTCCTTCCTTCCTAAGTTTTTGGAATAGTTTTTGCAGTATCGTTTCAAGCTCATCTTTGAAAGTTTGATAGAGTTCTGGTATGTAGACATCTGGTCCAGGGCTTTTGTGTGTGTGTGTTGGAAGAGTATTTTTATTTTTTCTTTAATCTTAGTACTTGATATTGGTCTGTTCAAGAGATCTGTTTCTTCCTGGTTAAGTCTAGGG